GTGACGTTATTCTTTTGCGCACCAACCCATTCGTGCATTTATGAAATTCCAATGTTGCAAGGACAATATCAATTCTGCTTAGCGTTTATTAAAGGGTTAGGGTCAGGGTTAGGGTCCGTTGATCGGTGGACAAAGGCGGTTTCTCGCAGCTTAAGTACAGTTTTTTGTTTTACGCCGGTTTTTCCCGAAGTCGCAAAAGTATGACATCACAACATTCTGATTGGTCACTTGCAATGTTGATCCTGGAACAACCTTTAGTATGATGATCTGGGAACAACACCAACACGAGGATATCAGATCGTGCCACTGACCACCCCCTAAGTGACAACACCCACTAGGTTTTAAATACCTGGGAATCTCCACCTTTTTGTTTGAGAACTAAAGAAACCTTTGGGATAAGAGTTGAAATGTCTTTTAAAAGGTTAAAGGTGTTTTGCCTTCTGTAACACGCACGTTAGTCTACCACGTTACACCTTCTTTTCAAGCTCTTAAGACCTACCAAAAACACAGATGCTATTCTGAGAACTGGGGTTACACAAATAACCAAAAGTCACTGGCAGTTAACAAGTAGCCCCCTTATCCAGTAAGGATCTAACTGTTCCTTTCTTAAACAGCAGGGATAGTCTCTTCTGCAGTAGATTACACTAGCAGCTTTGTGCTGTGAAATACCTTTGTGCACACACCCTGTTGTCACTCTGTCAGTCACCAGCGTCTTGTGTAATTTCACAACTTGCCAAAGGCTTTTTGTTTAACAAGAGGTAATTTGATGTGCCTCAGTGGGAAAAGTGCAGGTGTAATGACTTCATTATGCCTGAAATGTATTTTTCTGTTCTCTCTCTTTCTTTCTCACAAGTCTTGATACAACACAGTTATAAGTGGTGGCTGTGCTTGGACAAGTCAAAAGGGCTGTTCCTTTCTTGTACTGCAACAGTTCTTAATATTTACAGCTTCTTGCCTGCCTGTTTCTCCTTTCAGTTATGTTTGCCAAAGCCTGTTTGACAGGCTTATCTGTACAGTCTTCTCGGTTCCCCCATCACACATAACATTCCTTTTTTTAGTGTGAAAGTCTCAGGGGAAACACAGTCTGCCATGCAGCCCAAAAAGTTGTGAAACTTGCATTTGTAGATACTAAAATAGATGTGTTTTAGCTCTCATATGCACAGACCTATTTTGCAGACAGAGGTTAATTTAAGCATAGATTATTTTAGATTGTAGCTGAAGCACATGGGACAAGAACTGAAACCTATAACGTCATCGAATATTGTATAGAGCTGCAGACTATATGATCATTTCACCATGTAAATCCAAAAATAAAACATGCAGAAACAAAGGGGGGAAAAGAGAATCTATTTTTCTCAAAAAATCTTTTTCACTTACTGCAACGTGTCAGTCACAGATGCTCCAGATGCACGTCTTCATACTCTTCATAGCTTCTTTCTTACAGACTCTCTGACAAGCTATGGAGTTATAGTCCAGCCTCCTCAGACAAACACAGACACACACACCCCTGACACATGCTCTTGGCTCCTCACCCTTACACTTCTAATGGTGTTTAAGTCAAAAGCCACTATAGAAGAGTTTATATCAGGAATGTCAAACTCATTTGACAGCTCACTTTGATCTTAAATGGACCAGTGAATGACATTTCCTAAACATTTAGCCCCTGAGATTTCTTAATATAAGAAAAAGAAGTGCATGTTAAACACTGTGTCTTAGTTACATGATGAATGTGTGAAATTACAGAGAATGTTCTGGTAGCTCATTGCTCGCACTGTCCTGTATTTAAAAAACATAAAGTTTTTATTAATTCACAGATTTAAAAAAAACATAGCAATAGTAGTAGTAGTGATGGGGAGTGAAAACTTTTCTGTCATTTAGTTGTTTATCTATTACTTAACTACTTTGTTGTAGTAGGATAGCATGACTGGGAATTGATGGAGGGCTTTATCAGTAGGAAAACCTGTACACATTATAAAAACACAGTTTAAAGTTCAAAATCTGTGCATTTCTTGGCATTTTCCAAAGCCTTCAAGTGGGCCAGATTGGAGTCTTTGCCGGGCTGATTCTGGCCCACAGGCTTTATGTTTGATCTGGTATTATATGATTAATAATTAATTCCATTTAAAAGTGCCAGTCCAACTGAACACAGGTGAACGCATCATACGTTTTGAATCAAGTAATTAGTGCACTTAACAGTTAAATGCTGCTGACCCACCCAAAACAAATGAGATAAACTAAATATTAACATTTTATTAATGCATTTATTTATTAATAAACACCAGTTAAATGTTGTTTCTGACTCTGTTTTCCACCAATCTCCCTATGAAGGAAGGATATGTAACCACACTCTGGACAGGAGGGTAGACTACAGTAGCTTCTGGGTCCGAGAAAAACAAGCTAATGAGGCTACAAAAAGCATTCTGAGAGTTAATGGGCTCAATGCAACTTAAGATTTACAGCTTAAAAACACTTCTGATCTCCATGTCACTTTTCATAATTTTATTTTAAAGAGCCCCCAGTTAAGTCTTTCATTAGGTTGACAAGGCAATACAAGATATAATAATTTCCTATGAAGCTTTGGTTTACTAAAATCGCTCCTATAAGACAACCTCACCTTTTAAATATCGACATATAGAGCTTTATTATCATTAAGGATCAAAGCATTATTTATTGTATATTATTCACAGAAGTCATTCATACATATTAATAACAAAGACACGCTGCCTTACTTTGTTGTCCTCTTGCTCATGTAGTGACCCGGTGACTCTGCTGCCCTGCAGCTTTTTTCTGCACAACGCCAGGAGGAAGCAGTGGGCTGAGGCTGACTCTTTTCTCTCCTTTTATAAATCGGTCTTTATGAGCTTACATAGTGCCATTTGTGCATGAGGCCTGTCCTTGCTCCAAAACAATTCAAAGAGTTTGTTGGTCTGCCTATTTTTGACAAAGCCACTCTTTCAGCCTGCGTCTGAGTGCAGGAAGTCTTATTCTCTTAATTCAGTTCACTGCAGAAACCTTAACTGGCACAAAGAGGCCAAACAAGAAGGTTTGAAAATAATATTTTCATCAGCTTTCTGGCATTAACAACCCACATCGGAATGAATCAGTTTCATTCTTTTTCCTGTCTCTTTTTATAAATGCTCCAGTATGTTCTTTATGTCCATACTTGGTCTCTATGTAACCTAGGTAGGTAGTATACGCTTTCTTTCTTTGTTTGTTTTTGTAGAAAGTCAATGTTTTAAAAGTGGCATGCTGTAAGTGTAAGTTGTTATTAAATGCAGATAAATCAAAAATCATGTTATTTTTTAGAATGGCAATATACTATTATACTTTAAGTAAATTTAAGTAATGCATAAGTAATTTTAGTAATTTTAAGAATCAGATAACTTCAGGTATTTTGCAGAAAAGGAGACACAAATTATTCTGTAAGTAATTTTAAGTACTGCATAATTTCTTGGTAATTTTACAGAAAAAACAAACAATATTTCTTCATCTCACACTGTAAGTACACTGTACTTTTCAGGGTGTGGGCCCTATTACAGAGTAGTTTAACCTTACCTACTTCCTGGTATTTTACAGGAAAGTGCTTTCTGTACACTCCTTTTTACAGTTATGTTTGAACAGTCATTGTGACAGAAAAAAAAAGTTAGACGTTAGACTTGGCTCCATTATTATAAGGACACAATTATTATAAGGACACAATGGCCTGCAAATTTTAATGGTATTTATCTTTTTCTTATAAGTTATTATAATTATCTTGATAAAATAAAAGGACAGTTGAATAAAAGAACATCTTTCATGTACATGAACATAGTGACTATTAAATAAAGATGTAAAAACATAAATGTGTAAAGACAAAATATTAAAATATAAACCCTGAATCCTGAAAAGTACAGCATATTTACAATGTAAGTTATTCTAGTGTGCCTTTAAGCATTTGTATGTAAAATATAATTACACTGTAATTTAAAATAAAATACCTTGAAAGTCCAGTTAAATACAGGAGAATTACACCCTTATTTACATGCTGTATTATACAGCATTACCTTGACCCATACCCAAAAACGTTAGCTAGTGCATGCAGTTGTGCTTTTTGTCTTATTACTGGCTGAGGGGATCATGAACACCTGTTAAGTAGATAACCCTGTACATCTGTAGAGTTTCCCATTAGATGTATTTTTTTGTTTTTAAATAAAAATCTCTCCTTAAGCTCATTCTGATCTCTGCACATACATATGTGAAAACCATCATCCCTATGGCCTTGTGTCAGTATTTTACCATCGTTTGTCCCCAGAGTCAGAAGAGAATATGGGCAACAATGAAAAATGGTGCCTATGTTTCCCCAACACGAGGATCTGAAACTGTTAGAGCTGATACTGTGTGAGAATCAGAAAATATTACTCCTGATCAGTGTGGCTGCTCTTGGAGTTGCACTTTACTTCATTAGTAACAATATTGTTGTCGTTGATGTTATTTTTGCGTATGATTTAAACATAGTGTTCCCTCTAACCAACTACAGACTTGGCTTGGAGGAAGAAATAAATATCCTGTATATCCAGTTCACTTTGTAGAAGTACAGAGCTCATCGCAGCTCCTGAAACAACCAGCAGGCGTCTCTCTTTCTCTCTTTCTTTCATGTATAAATGCAACACTGGCTCTTTCACACAGGGAAAAATGTGTTCAAAGTTCAGCAAAGTGTTGGCTTTAGTTTAAACATTGCAAAGGTTTGTTATTGTTCGTCTTTCTTTAAGGAGTGTGTGCAAACAATGTGTGATGTGCACATGTGAAAGAAAGGTATTAGTGCATTGATCACTTAAAATTCATACAATGAATATATATTACAAGCCAGCCTGTGATGTTAAATATAATATTCAAACTTGTGGTTAAATTCTCCTATTTTATAATTCATACGTCAGACTGGGAACACCCCTTCTTGCCTCCATGTGGCTCTCCACCCTCTCCTCATCCCTCTGTCCTTCACCATACAGAGCTCCAGACCTCCTCTGGGAACATCCGAGACATATCAGTACACTACAGACCCTGCAGACGTTTAGTCACCTCTCAACAGCTCAACAGCTGCTGGTACTCTGGTATTTAATCAGATGTGCTTCTGAGTTGTCAGTAGACTTGAATAGAGGGATTTAAAGCCGCTAACTGATGAAGTTTTGGAGCATGAGGGTGAGCCAAGTGTTGCAGTTGTCCACTTTACTGGTAGGACTTCACCATGTCTGGTGTTCACCTGCACTAGGTCAGGTCCCTGTGTCTCAGGTGAAGATGCTCTCGCTGGGTCTGGCTCACCTGCTGGAAGAGGTGACTGAGAACGTGGAGCGACTGGAGCAGCACGGAGAAATGATGGGAAGAGAGATGGACGGGGCAACAAAGCGTTTGGAGAGCCTTCGTAAGAAAAATATACAAGTGGGACGGACTCACAAACAGGTGAGTGAGAGCTCTGTAAATTACTTTTCACAGCAAATCAGACAACCTAGTGTGCAATCTTTGCCACAAAATCTCCAGCATATGCTTCAGATTATATATTTTGGATGTTTTTTAAAGCTACAACTAACAACTTTGAAGAAAACAGTTCATTTTGGAGTCTAAAATTTTGGAGTCTACACTAGTGTGTTAGTGTAGTGTTATTTGATTAAAAATAACACTACACTAACACACTAGCTACTAATTTATTGTCATTTAAACCCAGTAATTGATTAATTACCTAATCACTGATTGTTATATTATTATTATATTATATATTTGTGCTGTCCTTTGTAAGCTGGGTAAAATATAACACTGAATATGGCAGCTTTGTTAAGCTGAAAGTATTGATAAAATTACAGGTAACCATCTTCTACTTTTTATTAATCAAAATCACCTAAAATGGCATAAAATATCAGATTTCAAGCCCATAGCTCTGTAGCTTCCTTGGTGGTTTGGCTGATTTAAATGTGTTTCTCTCCAGGTGAGGAAGGTCCTGCAGACATTGTCTGCCAGGAGGGACAGACAATGGAGGACAGTCAGAGACCTGCAGAAGGAGTCGGAGGATCTGGAGACTGAAAAGGCAGCCATGCAACGCCGCATGAACCGGATCCTCCAGAGTATGAGGAGCCTGACTGAGGCAAGGTCAGGGGGTGGGGCTTGCACTGGCATCAGCTCCATGAAGGTGAGCAAAAACCAGGAAATTAACCAATAAATTATCAGGAATCATGAAGAGATCAAGTCATCAGTCACACTCATGTTTGCTGCAAAAAGTATTTTGCAAAGTATACTGATGACTCACATATGAGGGAGTGGTAAATAAATTAGCACATTACTTAAGCAACTGGAGCTGGAAATGGCCACTACCAAGCGATCTCTTTATATGTGGGCAGGTTTCAGCCAACATTACCTTACCAACATTAACAGAGCTACTAAGGCAAGGAAGTCAATTGTGAGGGTGTTAAAAACATGACAAACTTTTCAAATGCTGCATAAATATCAACAGCTGCTGTACCATTAGCACTGAAGCTGTCCTGGATCAGGAGCTGTGCATGCTGACTGAACCTTAGAGAGAAGAAAGCTTCAGCAGTTGCTTCGATCCATTTATCAGTGAAGTTCAGAGATCTTCGTCTTACACTTTAACATCTTTGCTGTGTTGCAGGTTCTCGTTGATAAACAGGCCCGACGACTTGCCAGCCTGACCTCTGAGGTCTCTGCGTGGGAGAGAATGATCGACAGACGCCAGCAGTACATCGAACATCTGGAGAAACAGCTGTCTTCAGGTTTAATGCTAACATTTTATACTTTTTTCATATCATGATTTTGATTCTGTCTTTTCTACCTTTATAACTAAACATTCTACCTGTCTTGTGTATGTCACAAGGGAGGGCAAAGTCAGGCCTGCTGGTTGACCCAGTATGAAACTTCTCATTAGTTTCTTTTTAAAAACACAGGGTTTTTTTTACCCATTATCTAATTTGCCACATTTACATTAAATATCTCTAGATATACTTGATAAATAGCCTATTTGGTGACTTTTGATCACCAAACTACTGAATATAACCACTGCATCGATTGTTGAATAATGTGACACAGATGAGCATGTTTGTTTGTTTTTTTTAAACTTGTGGCTGCAGATGTACTTTATGATTGGTGCTTACTGGATAATTTGAGCTCAGCAGTGTAGCATGGCTGACTATCTTGTCTGTCACTCTAAATGTGTCTCTGTATTTTCCTTTCTCTGTTAATTACTTGGGTTTTGCTTGGGTTTGCTTTCTACCTGCTCTTCTCCTCTCTGTCTAGTGCAAATAACTGTGAAAGCCCTGCACTGGCTGTGCTGTGTTGTTCATTAAAAATGCTCAGGAGTTTGTCTTCATCTCCAGTGTGTCTTTGTGTGTTTGTTTTAGATGCCTAAAAGCCTCCCGGCAGCGCAGAGGGTAGAGGTTCACCCAGACTGTGACCGATGAGCACAGCTGCATCAACATTGTGACTCTGACCAACTTACAGGCTGAGACTGATGCTGCAAAACTGACAAGGCAAACAGCTCTGACAGTCAGCCATGTGAGACGTCAGTGCCTCTTTAAACGTGTGTGCCATCTGCATCTCACAAGGACATATTGTTTTTTTTTACAGCATAAAGCAAATATTTTTACCCAAAACATAATAAAACATCTCAATTTCAATAAAATTAACTATAAATATATATATTAAATATCAAACCTCTTTTTACCAATTTTTGAGCTTTGGAACCTATTGCAAAAAGCTGTTTGGATTCCTCATCTAGTATTTATAAATCAAAATCATCTCACCACTCCTCAGATTTATATGGTGGCCTCTTAGATAGGCCGGACTCTCAAGCTGGGCACCAGTGAGGAAACTAGCTAAGCAGTGTAGCAGTTAATTAAAACAATAACACCGCGTCTGTTTTGTGAAACTTCTTTTACTTTACGGGAGTTTCTTGTGTTATTCAGAGTGCTTTAAGGCAGGGCTTTTACTTCTAATAGAGCATTTTTCTATGTTATTTAGAGTTCGTCTGTGTCAAATATGTTGTGGAAGTGTTCTGTCCTCAGTAAGAGCTGCCTGTTTCTAAAGGTTGTGGCTCTGGCTTTCACAATGTTGTGGTGATGATGAAACGACTCACGAAGATAGTTTGCTCACACTCACTGAAATAAACATGAGCGTAATGAGACGGTTGTTCAGCACACCCACCGATAAAACAAATCATCCAGTTGAGTCACACTGAAATTTTTAAGAACTAAAAACTGAAAAGGCAAAGTTAGACTTGGTCATGCTTTTAGACATTATTTAACTAACAAGTTACACGATAGAACACAGAAATTAAACGACTGTGCTAGAATATTGAACTAAGACTATATTCTGAGATCCAGCAACTATCGCACAGCTCCTTTACGAGTAACAGAGAAAACAGTGTTTGTCATTTTGATGTCACTGGCCAGAAATTTGTTAGTAATTGTTCGTGTTTTGACCTTGATCCTACATTACAGATGATCTGGATGTTGGTTTTATGTGTTTGTGTTGTGGCTGGGTCATTCTTGAAAATTAGATTTTTGATCTCAGTTATACTTTTACCTGGATACGTAATGGACATATACTGCCTGGCTTAAAGAAGAAGAAGAAGAAAAAGAAGAAGCCTCCACCTGGATTTAACTAAGCAAACAGGTAAACCAAGAAAACAGTTGAGATTACTGGAGCTGCTGAAGCTAGGTTAAGAACTGTCCGATGCATTATTAAAACCTGTGACAGTGGTCAACCATCAAACTGCAGTTATAAACTCAGAGTTTTGAATTTTGTGGGTTCATGATTTTTTGTTTTAGTTTCATATTGTTTACGGTCTTCAGTTATTTTGGTATTTTTGTGTCTTTTTGTCATTTGTGCCTTTAGTTTGTTGCTTAGGATGGCTATAGATGTGTGAGCTCCCTTTGATGATGCCATTCTGTTCCTTCAGTCCTGTCTCTAAGGTTGTCTTGCTGCATAAAATTTGTCTTTAGGGGTGTCCGAATTCATGGGCTGCATCCTCCTGAGGACCCGGCCTTCGCGGTCTACGTGGGCCGGGTCCTCAGAAGGTCGGGTAGGCCGGAAGTAAACGGCTGTGAAACTGGACGGTCTAGCCTTCTGATTAGCATCACCGCTGTCTCGGTGGAGTTTAATAAACTCGGCCGTCTGCTCCTTGCTATCTAAAATATAACAGGACACTGGCGTAAATTCTCGACCATCTCACACTTCTGTTTAATCAGTTTTCTGTTTGACGTTTATTCAGCTGTGTGAAAACCAAGGAGGAACCAAGCAGATATTTGAAGTTTACACAGCTACATTCTCGCCGGAAAATATGTTAAAAGTTTATTTTGTGACCCAGAAAGAGTAATAAGAGTAATATTAAAACTTAGTAGTGGCCGCCATTGTTGGAAACTGGAATTGACTGGGCTGTGCTATGAATTCTGGGATATGGTTGGCCATGAAGGATATACCCAACCCATCCTTCAAATTCGGGGAAAAGGAGGACGCATTTGTTGGCTGCGTTTGGAGTCTACGAATTTGGACAGCCTTTGGTGCGTCGCTGTGACAAAATCGGCCTACAAATGCTGCCTCCGGAGGATGCAGCCTGTCACTACCCGATCGGTACCAGAAACCCGATCGGTACCCCGCATGCGCAAATCTTACGTCACTTCCTATATCTGCCAACATTGCGACAGTTAATGTATTCGAGTGACACGGTTAGCGCCCAGTTAGCTCATAGCATTTCTCAACAGCTCTGCCTCCTTTTCGACTGCCCGGGACATTTAAACAATGGATAATCCGTATACAAACAAATTCATGCTTTTCTCCTCAACAGAGAGCGTCCCCCGATTGAACAACAGCGCCATAAAATAAGAAGAATGGCACCGAATTACAGACTTAATAATACTGACCTAGTAATATGTCACGTGAAGATTCATCAACCAGATTAAGTGTTTACTGACAATTGACAGCGATAGCAGACATCATCATTACTATTCCAACAGTCCTCTCCACACAGACAAGCATAAACACACTCGACTATCACTAATCAAATTTAACACGCATTTGTAATGACGCTTGTTCATTTTACAATAGGGTTGATTCACTCAGTCAGCAGGTGGCGGTATCCTCGTACACTGGGGAGTAAACTTATACTTATGAACATGCACGGTATGGATCAGGTAGACCCAATTTGTACGGTCCGACTTTGCACATGTGCAGTAAGGATCGGGGAGTCCTGATCCGTAACTATCGTTTTATTTTTCGTTTATGTCTACATTATATTGAAATGTTTCATTACTCCAAACAATTTAAGCGATACTTATTATTCTTAACATCTTAACAGATATTCTGACCCGTAACTATCGTAAAATGCTTCGGCCGGAAGTAGACACCTTTCGCACATGCATGTGTAAACGGTTTCTGCGTCACCCCGCTGCAACAGTTCGGCCCAAACAGACTCTTCGACTCTGCGTTGTGTTGTGTTTTTAAGAAGACAAGGAGTCTCTGATCGATCGTTGCCACATTATTTGCTGAATGGAAACAACGGTGTTTTATCAGTGCAATGGCTCGCCACACACCACTCCGCACAGCACACTATGGCAGATCATCCCATTAGCATTCCGCTTTAGCATACAGTTTTACACAATAATAAACAAATGAAAAGTACATAAAACTGGTGTTGGACATGTGTCCACTAAGCACTTATTACACTCGGTGCCCATCAGTTAATCAAACATCTTTTATGTGTCTGTACTACTTAGCTACATTGTGTGTGGAACAATACAACCCACCTCTCGTATGGCTACGGCAGACTGGCAGCGATTACTGCAGCCAGCCTCACCTAACCAGCCACACCAAGAGAGGGCGCTGTTTCCCCATTACACTGACATTTGTGGCAAGTGGAATAATACCACATAAACTCTGTTACTCATGGTACCAATCGGGTTTCCGGCCCATGAATTTGGACACCCCCCTTTCTCTCACCTTAATTTATTTCCTGTTTTATTTTGATAGTCTATCATCTCGTGTGCCTTGTGTTGAGTTTAACTTCCCTTGTCTTGTTATTCTTGATTTGTTCCTGCTGTGTTTCCCACCTTACCTTTTGTATGCGTTGCGTCTCCTCTTGCCCTTTGTCATGTCCTCTCCTCCTTTCCCTGTGTTTCATGACAGTTTGTTTTATATTTGGATGTTCTATATTCCTCTGAGTTATGGTGTTAAAAAACGCCACAGGGATAGCAGGCTGTAATCAAAGCTAAAGGTGGTCTAATGCGGTCTCCTTATTTGTTGTTGTTTTTTAAAGTGTATTGTGCATAGTATTACACAACACTGCATAACCATTACATAACTGTGACATTTTCTGGACATGTTTGCTCAAACCCACGATGCAGACTTGGAATTGGGGTTTTTTGCCAACATGTTCTCAGAACTGACTTAAAATGCAATTTCAACTACAAACAAAGGGCCTCAGCAGATTTCTGTGGTTATACTTACACCACATAAAAAACAGCAAGACTTCCTGTATTTTGTTTGATGTTTACTTGTTTTCACCTCAGGCTTAAGACTTCCTTTTTAGATAACACCAAATTTTTTTACATGAATATTTAAAACATTTTTCATAAAAGTGGGACCAAAAAAACAATGGTAATAGAGAGAGGACAAAACAGTTTCCTGTATTCAGCATTGAATGAATTTCTCTATTAAATGATCAACTGCTGGAGTCAAATCAAACTTAGAGCCAGCAGCAAACCAGCAGCTGTGAAGCCTCATGACTGACTAGCAGGCAAATGTGACAAAAGTTGTGTGTTTAATCTTGGTGGACTGAGCTGATATACGATCGCCTCTAGTCACCGTTTTGATGTTTAAGGAGTGGGCAATCTGTCCCCTATGGTGTTCCCAAACAAACTTCAGACAAGCAGACCTCTGGCCCACTTAGAGGACAAAGGGGAGACGGAGGAAGGGCTGGAGAGAGAAAAAAGAGGAAGACAAACAGAAAGGGAGAGTAAGCGATGGAGAACTGCTTTTAGGCGTAAACAATAAAAATATAAAATCAGCATAAAAAAGAGGAAGGAGCAAGATTAAAGGAAACAAAAGAAAGGGAGGAGACACGTATAAATATGACAAACAACAGGAAAAGCTTCGATAAATAACTATCATTACTGGCAATGGGAGGGTATGTGCCAGAGCTGCCACTACTCCCCCTAGAGGATACATAGAAGCTCCTAAAGAAAGAAACACTGACATCAGTGCCTTAAAGTGTATCTGAGAAGGCACTTTTATGTCAGGGTGTAGAAAACTTCCCCTTCCCTGTCTGTGCTCAGTCAGAGGAAATGCTTTGTGGTGGAAATTTACTCGTTTTTTTGGTACTATTCCACCAAAGACCTTTAATTAAAATGAATTTAAACTTTAACCCTCATCCAATAAGGAGACTACTGACTCAGAGCCAAATTTTATTTTAGGAAACATGAATTCATACATGATCTTTTCATGCATGAAAAAGCTTCAGTAATTTCATGTAACAACTCGTAAGCCATCTGGAACTTACCGGGACCATATGATATTGTGCAAACATGAGCAATGCATACATTTATGCAAAACTAAGGCTATTTAAACGTCATAGTCAGTTCTACGTTTATGGCAGGGGAAGGGCTAAAAAAAACTGACAGGAAGTGAGTGTTTATTCTGCAGAATGATACTGATGCAATCGCGATTCACCAAGAATAACGTCTTCATGACTGCATCGTGTTTGTGGCCTCTTAGATGCGGTGCCTCTTGAACACCAAAGATTAAATGATTAATGGTGGAAGGTTATTAAACATATACAGAAATAAAGAACTGTCAATAGACTTCAAACTGGTTGGTGAAAATGGACAAACAAACAGGCTAATAATGATAGTAAACAAACTTTCTTCCAGTTTGTACATAATACAAAATGATGGTGTTTACGTAGTAGTACTGTATGAATGCTGCACTTTACAGGAAGTTAACGCACCTCATTTGGTTCATGCTGTGATCAGGTTAACTGTGTCTGCCCAGCTGACAGTGTGTGATACGTTAAATTAGGAACCATGGCAAACAAAAAGCCAACAAATACTTCCATCAAATACAAAAGTCAATGTGGATGTAGGTGCCTTTCACTACATGTTCCATGAGGCCCGTCCACTGAATTAATGATAGACGTAGCATCCGTGAAGTCCATCTATTGGTTTTGGGCTCTGCATTTTGAAGTCTCAAAGTCTGGCCCTATAAAGCTTCTGTCTTGGGTTTTCACAGCTCTAAGGCATAGTGTGAAATACTACACCCCATGATTCAGTAGCTTGTAGAGTCACTTAAAGCAGCACTTACTTCAAATCATGATTTATCAGCTTTCTCAGTCTCTGTTGTTGTCATAGAAGGATTTTAGCCCACTCTTCTTTACATTGCTTCAGTTTATTGCAGTTTGCAGACATTAGTTTATCCACAGCTCTCTTTATGTCCCCCACACCATTTCACTCACGTTTAGGTCTGGATTCTGACCAGGCCATTGCAACACTAGGATTTTTCTATTTTTCAGTCATTCTGTTGTAGATTTGATAGTGTGCTTGAGATCATGGTCCTGTTCCCAGGCTTTACTCGTCGAGCAGCCGACCTTATGGTTGAGACAGGAATTCATCAGTGTTCATATGTTCAGTGTTACTCATGAGTAACTCATGAGTTCATGCTTAACTTAATGACCACAAGGTGCTCAGGTCCTGTGGCCGCAAAACAAGCCCAAATTATAACCCCTCCACC